CTGAAGAAGGTACTATCATGCATGAACAAAATAATACTAATTGATATTATTAGTTTACTCTACTAAACTATATTAGATAATATTAACAACACTGCTCATGGTATAATAAACTAAGATTTTAATTAAATTGTATTAATTAAAAAAATTAATCTTTAGTTTAAGCAATTTTACAAAAATTAAGTACAGAATATGAATCAAATCGCTTTCTTGTCAGATGTTTAACATATGCTAAAGCTTTAGGAAATTGGTCCTTCACTGACAAGAAAAGAATTCAGTTACAGAAACTGAAAAGATATTTTCAGTAAACTTCATTGGCCATTACTAGTTCTTGCTTTATCATTTTTCCTTTCAAACAGTTTTAAGAAACTCAGCTACTGCATTTAAGTCTTTTATATATTACAGGGAGAAGCATTTTTGATTGCCCACTTTGAAAATAATATACTTGTTCCTTAATGCAACTCAAAAAATATATATATTTTTTTACTTTTATTTATTTATTTTGCTACACTTACCCATTTATATACATGCACATGCTATGTTGACTTCTGTGCTTTGCATAGATGTTAGTTATTTGTGATGCACAAATGTCTGGGGAAAATGACCACCTCAGTTAGCAATGCACTGCATGAGACAATAATAGATACTTTTAATGACACATTGACGAGCATATGGAGCAACCTTCACAATTTTCAGCTCAATGTGTTCCTTCCATTTTTTCACTCTGGCTGCAAACACCTCATCCTTTAAATATCGCCAACAGATGAAGCCTGTAGCACTAAGGTTAGAGGATCTGGATGGCTACTCAATATTATCAAAATGCAACATTTTGCAACCTGGAAAGGATTTCAAGTTGAGATTGCACATGGGGGCAGTGACCTTCTCCTGTTAGAATCCAAAGTCTTGTAGTTGATATCAATGATTTCGCATGTCCAGAATCACTAACTCATGCACTTTGTGGGAATATTATATGGTACTGTAATACGGTATCAAAAAAGAACAAACTGATTAATTCAATCATGCCAATACCGTTCCAAACTATGACTTATTGCGAGTAATTGTCCTTTCATGTATGTCCTGTAGGTTCTGTGGCACTCATAATTGAAAGTTTTGTTTATTGACATAATCTGATAAAAAGTTTGCTTCATCAGTTATCATCAGGGAATGAATAAACTATGGATTATTATCCTTGGAACATGCAGGTATGTAAGACATATAGCAGAATGCTGCTTTAACCATATATCATGAAAAATAAAGTGAAAAAGGTGAAATAAAGAGTACAAAGTCCGAGATCCGGACTTGTCGGGACTACCGTGATTCCGGATTTGGGATTTTTCCGGATATTAGATTATCAGTTTAAATCTAGTAAGATGGCATGTAAAAAAATAAAATTAAAAATATGAAATAATGAAGCAGTTATGATCAAAAGGATATCAAAATTTAGGGGGGGAAACTTAATATTTATTTGTTTACTTTATTAAACATTTAATTTCTATTAAGTTGTTTAAGATGCTTCGCTTTTTTGTGCTAATACTTTCACTTTAATTCTACAGACAGACAAAATTTCGGTAAAATCCTAGTATACGGTACTATCTTGGAACAATTTTGAAAATTTTCGTCCACACCAAAATGACCCGTTTACTGCTCATCATAAATGTTGCGTTTACAGCTCATACTAATGTCGCCAAATCCTATGTGTATTGTATACTAAGATTAAACCAAAATTTCTTGTTCATTTACAAAGTTCCATTGTTGAAATCCTGTAATTGCTGTGTCTAGAATTCCAACTAGCTTGTCAATTGAAATTTTTTTTACTTTCAATAACCTCCCTGTCACTTTCTTCACTACGGGTAGTGGTATTTTCTGGATCTAGAACCATACTACAGATTCACTATCCGTTAACTGATTGACGATTGATGAGCATTGTCATCACAATGAAAAACTTCTTGACATTTCTTTACAAAATCCATTAATTAAAAATTTTGAGATATCCAAAAACCTTCAGATTCATGGCTATCATCATAAAATTTAGCTATGCATCATGAGATTGGCGACTAAAGACAAGTTGTTCAGCTATATTTTATCTTGTTTCTATTGTGCACTGAGACAATTCAGCCTGATTTTTATTGGTTTAGTTATTTATTATACTCACGCCTATTCCTTGCACGTGCTTAAGGCTTATCCGAGTCCTGAATAAATAAATTCCCACATATACTTAAGACTTATAGAGGGCTGGCACTAGGAATCTGACCGCCTGATGCAGTCTCTGTGGGTCCTAAATTCATGCTACCAAGTGCCTTCTTTTGTCTTCCCTAAATTCTGCCGTTCAATGGGGCCATACGAGCTCTGGCGCTGGTTCTGGGTTTACGTGAATAACAAATCAGTTATTCTTAATTCAAATAGCACTAAATATAATCTTTTGGCCAATAAGTATCATTAAGAAATTTATTTTTAGCATATGGAAAATAATGTTTGCTAAATTTTTCCTGTCAACATTTTTAGCACATTACCTGTAATCATTGCCAAGCATAAGTAATGTCAACATAAAAGGTTATCATACTCTTTGTTATTCAATTGCTAATTAAAAAAAAAATTAAGCACCGCTACATGAGTCATTACTCAAGCTGCTATGTGTTGATAAACATGCGGTAATGAAAGCAAAATATTATAGATAATGATAGGCCAGGTTGTCGTCAGGGATATAAAATATTAGTAGGTGTCAAATCAACGATGTACCTATGTAGAATGTTTCAGTTTGAGATGTATGCCAAGCAGATACGCAGCTACGGAGCCAAATTATTGATCAAACAAATTTATGCTAAAATGATTAATTCTTCAATAATGAGGTCTTTTATTTAATGCCAAAGTGAAATTAAGAATTGGGACTCTACAAATGCACATTGGGGCGGGGGGTGAGTCAAATGCACATGCATAAAGCACACACACATACTAAATAAATAAAAAAAAGTTGGTGACAGCTTTGAGGTTCCGAATTTTAGATCATTCCGAATCTCGGATTTTGTACTTTAGTATCATAAAGTATGAATTTTGAAAATGAATGTAAAATTTTGCTGTTCGAGCCGTGTTTACTTTGATGTAAATATTAGATTTTAGCAATGAGAACTGTGAAAATTCTGATTGGCCAGTGCCTGTCATGTGAGTGAAACTCTCAAATTTCAGACCTTGGCAAGTGAATCTTGAGAGATATGAATTATACGATGGTAGTTCTGAGTAATAATCACTGATGCATGATAATGAGTCTTTCAAGATTTTATGGTAGCAATTTGATGTTATAATAGCAGTTTGAACTGAAGTAGTTTTCGTGAATATGCAGTAGACATTTGAAGATTTCAGATTGGTCAGTGCCTGTTACATGAGTGGTCATCCACCCAAGTACAGACTCCAGTGCCTGCGGCTTAAAAATTCTTACTTAGCTTACACTATGCATGTATATAAATTTGAATAATAACTATGCACATTGAGTAATAGCGATATATTTATGAACAAAGTCTCTAAGGCTTTGCAAGATAGAAAACAAAGTCCGTGCTTTACAAGTGATATAAACAAAGTCCTATGCTTTGCCAATAATGCTAAGCGAAAAGAAAAATATATACATTATTTACATTAAATCTTGGTTGAAACAAATGTAAATTACCACTTGGGATTGTGATGTATGTCACTTTGCAGCATTTTCCACTGTGGAATCATTCTTGATGTCATTATATCTTGAATGTTGGATTCTTTCGAAGGAGTTGTGGCTTGTAGTAAGAATTTGGTCATGCATGTTTAAAATTTTTAGTTCTTTATGAGTTTCATGATTTCTCATGAACTAAGGTGCATTAGTAATTTCGTGATATAGTTTATTTTGAAAAAAAATCCAGTTTTCTACTGTAGGTTTTAAAGACTATCACCCAGGTGGGAATTGCATATAATAGGATAGGTCAAATGAGCGTTAAACAGATTTTTCTTTTGGTTCTGATAAGTAACTTTGATTTCCTTCCTATTAGGGAGCACAGAGCTATTTTTGCTGCTGTGGCTTTTTATAATGTGTATTCTGTATGTTCTTTGAATAAAAGTTGTGGGTCGAAGTAGATGCCTTGATATTTTCCGAATTAGTTACAGGGAGGAGTGAGTTATTGATTTTGATGTTCATAAGATTGTGCCTTCTGTGGCGTCTAATAAGCACGATGTTATATTTGCTGGGATTAAGTTTCTATTTTGAACACTGATACCAGTACGAGATGATGTTGACAGCAGTATTAAGCTCTTCAATAGTGAGGTGTGGCTGAAGAGATTTAGTTATGATGATGGTGTCGTCTGCATTGTTAACTATGTTTGTATTCAGGGGCTCAGGCATATTGTTTATGCATATGTTGAAAAGATTTAATGCTAGAACACTATCTTGAGGCACAGCACTTCTACAGATTCTTTTTCTCGAGATAGTATGACTAATATGAACTTGGAAAGCTCTATTTTTGAGATAAGTTTTCAGGAGTTGAATAAAATTAGTCATGCAAGATGAAGCTTAAAGAGGAGCCCATCCTGCCTACTTTGTCGATTATTATTCGGCATGGTATGTAATGTGTTGTATACATGCATGCGTAAATCCTTGTCACTCACAGCGAATTCTTGTACAAATTATAATTTATATGAATGAAAATGAAGGTCCAAGCCTAGGATCCTGCAGAGGTTCTGTTGTGTTATCTGTAACATTCTAGCATGATGGCATACTGCATGCTGCGAGCTCCAAATCATGGCCTGACGAACATGCTGAATGTTCTTATAAATCATCAAAAAAGAAAACATAAAATAACTTTTTATAAATTACTGAGTACTTATATAATATATGAATAAAGAGTACTAATTAATAGTGTATATTTTTAGATTCTATCAACTGTCTTATTTAACTGAAATACATGAAGTTATTTATGCAAGGCTAAAATCAAAAATGCAGTTAAATTGCAGAATAACAACTATTGGCAAGATAAAATACATAGAGCATATTAGTAGCTTATTTTTTTATTCATTATGTTTTACAAGGGAAATTCATTTTAACAATTCATCAAATTATTTAGTTACTTAGCATATGATTATACAAGATAATGTATTACATAAATTCTGCCTTATATGTCATTTTTATAAGAGCATTTTGAAATATTTACAAATAATTCATCTAAGCATCATTCAACAGACATAACAAATGAAACCTTGCACACTTTAAGGAGTCATTATTTTTTTGTGTCAACTTGAGTGCTGTAAAAGAAATAAAAAACAGTTTTAACAATTATATAACACTATTAAATGTTACCTGACAGAGGTAGTTAATATGTTCTTACCCTCCCAGTATCCCAGCGCAAGAACTTAAAAAGTATTTATTGTAATCAATTCGCAGTAATAACTGTGCTAAATGAGGACTAACTTGCTTGCTACGAACTCTGGACAACACACGCAGAAGTAAAGATGTTTGCAACTGAAAATCCTAAAGTACATAAAAAAGAACAATTAATTTTAACTTTCAGTTTAATACACTTCATGTTTTTATAACTAGGAAAATGAAAGTCATTACAGAAATTAACAAATTTTTGCAATTTTTCAGATAAAATGTTTTTTAGTGAAAATTTTATTATTTCAATACATATTGGAATTTTTAATGGTCCAAACTCTTACAGATGGGTCCCACCAGCAGCCAAGTGGTAAAAGCCACTGAACACTGGTAGTTAGGTCCAGGGCTCGAGTCCCGGCGAACGGGCTGGCTGCATGAGCATTTTCGTGGTTTTCCCCAAGTGTAACGTGGATACGAGCCAGTTTTCCTTAAAAAAAACCTCCACAGGGCATCCCTCCCTTTTCGTGTAGTGCCTATGGGCGGAGCACGTAATAAGCAAAAAAAAAAAAAAAAAACTCTCACAGATACTAGTTACTCTGAAAGTGACTAGTACTTCTGAGGACATAATATAAATACTGAATACCACTGGAAGTTATATTCTCTAAAGTGATTATCTAAAAAATCATTTCAAGCCATGGGGAGTTGTTTAAGACAAGATTCACTGCATTAGTCATATTACTTTTTTCACCAACAACAACTACAAAAAAATATTTAACTCTTATTTGAGTTACTGTACATTATCTAAATAAAGAATTTGAAACTATGCTAAACAAGCTATTCTGTTAGGATCGAAATTGATCATGGGAATATGGTTCAATAAAATAAGTGTATGTGTAATTATGGCAAAGCCTCGAGGGTTATCTGCCTAAGGGAAGGGATGCTTTCGTGGAGGACTTTCTAAGGGGAACTGGCTCGTATACACGTTACACATGGGGAAAACCACGAAGACGCAAATGCAGCCAGCCCATTCGCGGGATTCGAACCTCGGACCGAAATACCAGTGTTCAGCAACTTTATTGCTCGGCCGTTGGTGAGCCCGCAATAAAATAAGAGTTCATACAAGAACTCCTTTGCCTCAGAAATTACAGATTCTAATGCAGGCATATTTTTTTCACAGTGCATAATATTTATATTTTAATATAAGGAAAGGACAAATATACTTGAAGCAGAAAAGTGGGGGGAGAGAAACATACACAAAAAATATTAGAAGCCATAATAAAAATTATTTTTTTAAAATGCCATACTTAGTTATCTTTACATATTACAATTCCAGTGCTTGTGTGGCAGCTGCATGCAAGTGATAAACTGCCAAAAACGATTTTAAGTCTAGTCACTGGTGAAAAATCAAAAGTCACCAATTTATTAACTTGCTTGAAACAGAAGTGAATTATTTATATCTCCAAGAAGCTTAACATTCATATGCAGTCATTTCCACTTAAATACGTTATCTTGCTCTTTCATACATTTTGTTCTCTTGTTTTTTGTAATAACCTAAAATTCCTTCTCACAATCTGAATTTTATCAAAGTGGAAAATAAATAAATTACTGGACAAGTCAAGATAGTAAATGCTATGCAAGTAGCGACTTTAAAGAATAGATATAAAAAATCTAACATTTAGAAGGTTAATTATATTAAATTCAATAAAAGCTGTACAAACAAATGGCATTATATAAAACTTCTATTAATTTAAATTTCAGGCATAAAAATTTGGAACAATCCCTCTTCTAAATAAGGAAGAGAATTATGCTTTTAAGCATATTTGAAAGGAGGTGAGAATATCAGAAAATTTATCACATTGCATGTTCTTAAATATTATAAAATCAGTCTGCAAATTAACACACAAGCATTAGGGAAATAGGCAATGCTATTTGACTTAATAGCATTGCTAGTTAAGCATTAATTATTTTCAAGAGCTTATAATTAAGAATAATATCTACTTTGCATAAAATTAGTATAGCACCATATAGCATGAATTTTGAGAGAAATACATACCAGTTTATTTCAGAAATACACACATATTACATGTTAGAATAAAAATCTGTTATTTTTTGCTGCATATAAGAATATACTATTAGAGTACAGCAGTACTTTGGTTTGCAAGCATAATTCCTTCTAAAATGTACTTTAAATCCATAGCACTCATATATTAAAGTGAATTTTTCCATAAGAAATAACAGGAACTTGTATGATTCATTCCATACCCAAAAAGTATTTACACAAAAATGATTACAAATAAAAAGTAAAACACACAAATAAAAGTGTAATACATAAAACAAATTAATCAACACTTTAGTTTTGAAAAGAATCATCGCTAGTTATTGGAATCAGGGCTATCTGTTACCCCATCTCTCCAAAAAATGTACACTGTATTGCCATTAAACAGATTTAATGCTCATGCTGCTACAACCTTATTCAAGTATTGTTTTTTTAGAAAATTTCGTCTTCTGTTTCACATTTCTCCAATCTTAATCGGAATGAGCGATTTTTTTGTTGTTGTTTTTTCTTCCTTCACCTCCTCAGATGAGATCTACTCCATAGTTTCTTGCTATTACTTATGATCCATAAGTTTGGTAAGCCCCTGACCATGTTCTTCTGCCAATGATTGAATATTGTCCCCAATCTGCTTCATAAGGCTAATCTTAAAAAAAAAAAAAAAAAAAAAAAAAAAAAATTCATTAACAAATAACAGCTTATATTCACGAGGAAGTCCTCAAAGTCATGTGATTCCCAAATAATTTCCCAAGAGCACAATTTTCTTGAAGCAGAATTGATTTTTACCTGGTAATTCAATTCTATTCTTTATCAGTGATCCTAAGGCTAATTATGACAAAACTCCCAAAGGACAAGACTTCTTTTGGTTACTTCAAAGCATCACCAAAACAGTACTTTACTGTGAAATTTTAAAGTTTGAAATGATTTGCTGATTCATGGCTGGGGCAGTGGAGTGGTAGTGGGAGAAAGATATTTGACAACAGTGAACTTGTACTCCTCTAGTAAGTCATCCTTAACAAAATTTTGAATGGCAGATTTTTTTCTATAAGGTATTTCTTCAAACTGAAAACTCCATGAACAAGATATGAATGGTGAATTATTTAATAATTTAGGATTTAAGACATTCCATGAACAAGATATGAACAGCTAAGCTTTATCTACCAGATATTGTCTACTGGAACAAGATATGAACGGCCAAGCTTTATTTACTGGATTACTCATTAAAGTTCCACTTGCATTAGCCCACAACAAGATGGTTTTTCAAGGATTTGTGACTAGAAACTATTCTCTTCTTCTATAATGTAGGCCTTTTTGGTCATGTTTTTCAAAAAAAAAAAAAGCAGTCTCATCACAGTTAAAACTTTGCTGAGCCAAATAATGCTAAAAAAACCATGAGATTCTGAAACCCAATAGCAAAAAATCCTTAGTTCCTTTAATGTTCAAACTCGTATATTCTCTGTGCTTCATAATATGATGAATGCCACTTCTCCTTTCAAAATTATCAAAACATCCATCCCCTGCTTGCCCTGAAGCTTTTTTTCTTTCCTGTCACCTTACATTGCTGGCCCATAAAGCCTTTTCCTTACCACAGATAAATTTTTTGGTCACAATATAACTTGCTAGTTACTTCTGATTCTTTTTTTCTCATAGACTAGAAGTAATTTTTTTACATCTTCCAGAATATGTGGCCATTGCAACTCTCATGACTCCTTTAGCTGCCCTTATTAATTCTCTTCAATATTATACAAATTATTGGCATAGACTTCTTATGAAATATTAAAATGCTAGTTACTAGCATACTTCGTTCATGTTTCTTAATGACTCCTTTCTTAACATCAATTATAATCACCTCCTTCTTACCACGTTTGTACACATTTCTGCATAGAAAAATTATGTACTTTTAAAGACCATCAATGAAAAAATGAATAAATTAAAACAATTATCTACTCTCTCTTGTAATAACATTCTAAGAGTAAAACATATCTGTAAGTAGAATGCATTATTAATTAAACATATTATTTAAAATAATTATAAAACAAATTCGAAAATAAAATCTGAAAAATTTATCAAGTAATTGGCATTAAGTTAAAAAATTTGTCGAAACAGTTATATTTTACACTTATAATGGTCCTACATATTTTAAAGAGGATTACTTATTATGAAATTTTACTTAAGTTTTACTAACAGTTAATTTTATGTTAATTCTTCCTTTTATGCCTTGTTTCACTCGATCCAGAGGTTTATACAGACTTGATGTCAAGTGACCCAGGTTAAAATGAGAAGCAAAATCATAAGATTCATAACACAAGCATGGCCGTTATCACCATTACTGCTTGTTTAGAAAAAGACAGAGCTGCTGACAACATTGGAATGGTTAGCAAGCACTGAAAGTTAGTTGCACTTTGTCTGTCCGAGACAGTGTCATAACCTCATGTAGAGTTGTAACCCAGCTAATATACTGTAAAGTTCCAAAAAGCTGTTGAAGTACTATAGGTGATAAGTTATTTTGTATTATTTTGAGTCTCATTAGCTGTAAAGAGTAACATTTTATGCTAATTTTTATAATTTTTTGTTGTACCTTGCGTCCACACTAAGGATTAAGGAAAAGCGAAAACTCAGCTTAAAACATAGAAATAACATCTGAGGGTGAGCAGTTAATTGCAAATAATTAAATTAAGTACTTAATGCTTGTTACAGATTTACATTACTACTATTAAATATTTTAATTTAAAAAAATCAATAAAAATATTAAAATCCCAATCTAAGAACATTTTATTGTTTAAAAATGACAGATAATTACATATATAATACACTCTTTGACAAAAAAAAAAAAAAAAAAAAAAAAAAACACGCACTGAGAAGATATAAAGCAAATTGGACACAAATTGATCTGCATACAGGTTTCGATGGAAAATGCAAAATTTTACATTTTGGCTGCCAATGAATGAATGGTTGTTGCTTGAGTGCATCTGATCTGCACAACTGGCAGGATATTTAAGAGGAGAAATTATGATTCCAGGTCATAAATTCTTCACGAATTTCATTTCGTGTACTCTGGCAGACAGTAACTATGCTTCGCATAGGTGCGTGAACGATATGCGCAGATGTCAGAATTTGAGAGAGATTGTGTAGTTGGGCTCAAAGAAGCCGGTTGGTCTTATCAGCAAATAGCTCAACATTTGAGCAGGAGCGATGCCACTATTAGACAATGTTGGCAGGAATGGATGAACCATGGCTGCACACAGCGTCAAGAAGGAAGCAGTAGGCCTAGAGAAATGACAGAAGAAGTAAAGACCGAGCAATCGTCAGAGTGACACTCACAGCCCCAGATGCATCATTATAATCGACTGTACGTGCAACTAGTGCTTCAGTGACCGCAAGGACCATTCATAGATGGCTCACAGAAAGGGGGATGAGGTCATGGTGCCCCTTGCGCCGACTACCATTGACCTCTGTACAATGTCAAGCCCATTTGCAGTGGTGTCGGGCTCATTCGCATTGGAATGTCACTGACTGGAGTAGAATAGTCTTCAGTGATGAGTCTAGCTTTGAACTGAGCCCCCATGAGCAGCGAAGGCACGTCTGGAAACGCCCTGGACAGCGGTGTGATATTAACCTGACTATTTTCCAGCAGACAGGCTGACAACCAGGAGTGATGGTCTGGGGTGCCATTTCATTTCATAGTAGGCCCCCTATGGTTGTCATCCGTCCCAACCTTACAGCACAGCGGTATGTCGATGAAGTTCTAAGGCTCGTTGTATTGCCCTTCATGTCACGCCACCCTGGGCTTACATTTCAGCAAGATAATGCTTGACCCCACATTGCATATGTTTTTACTGCTTGCCTTAGTGCTTGCCAAACATTACCTTGGCTAGCAAGATTGCAGGATATTTCTCCTATTGAGCACGTTTGAAGCATTATGGGAAGGGCCCTTCAACCAGCTCGGGATGTTGATGATCCAATGCACCAGTTGGACAGAATTTGGCACAATGTCTCTCAGGAGGACATCCGCAATCTCTATCAATCGATACCAAGCCGAATAACTGTTTGCATAAGAGCCAGAGGTGGACAAACACGTTACTGACTTTTTTCACTTTGTGAAGCTCTATCACTTCAATAAATCAACCAATTTTTTCTCAAATTGTAATCATTTGTTTTTCTGTACATGTACATCACTTCTACCGATTTTCGTCCTATTCGGATAACTCCTTCTTGGTGCATCTTTTTTTGTCTAAGAGTGTATATGACATTGATTTGTAAATAATATTAAGATAATTATACATTAAAAGTTCCAAAGCATGCTTTGTAGCAATAACACACAAGAAAATATTTATGTATTTGTTTAATTTGAAAATAGATAGATTTCAGATATTTTAACTAATTTATACTAATTTCTTCTTTTTTCAATCTTTTCTATTTAATTGTGTCAATTAAACAAATCAATGTCTAGTCCAACACTAGTCTCTATTTCATCTCCTAACTTTTTAATGTTTCAACAGGTTGTTAATATTCTGAGAAGGACAATTTTCTTTCACCTAATGTAAGCAATATCTTTCTCAATAAGTATCCTCAGATTTAATTAGGTTTCTGTTATTCTGCAAAACTGAATATATTTCGAATGCATATAAGAAACTGCTAATATTATCTTGTCTTTATTAATACGAGTATTGAGAATAACTATGAAATAACATATAGTCAGGCATCACCAGAATCACTGAAGCAGAAATTTTAAGAATTTAGTGAAGCAGTGATCAACAAAATTTAGGGATGTTAAAATTTTTAGAATTTAGGATCCATAGCGATTGCAACAAAAGGCAAAAATGAATAGTATGGTATACTGAGTAGTTGCACTGAGATATATATGATGAATCTTTTAAATAAGTGCTTCTGAAACTTTTTTCACTTATGACCTCTTTTTATCATTGAGATTTTTTCATGATTCTAGATATTAAATATAGAATAAAGAAGATAAAAAAATAAATAAAATTGCTAAATTTAGCAATGCATAGCAAAAGAATTCATATCCCAAAAAAGAAAAAGTCATTTTTGATTTAATTTTTGTAAACTCTTCATTAGGAGGAAAAAAAAAAAAAAAAAAGCATTTGTCAATTTGTCAGTGAAATCTTCAGAAAATATTATTCCAAAATGTTAATTCACATATAAAGTATCAGTCATAAAAAAACAGACAGAAATGTCAGATGAGTAAAATTAAGAGTCCTTTGCAATTTTAACCGAATTTAAGGACTTTTAGGACCATACGAGCCCTGCACTTAAGTTTCCCCATTTTTTCTTCATAAAGGACATCGTTATAGTACATTTACTAAAGAACAATTATAACATTTGAAAACATTAAAAAAAGAAAGTCCTCCCCCCCCCCCCCCCCCCCCCCCAAAAAAAAAGGAATTGTGTGCCCAACTGTGGTCACTATGCTATCATAGAGTGAGATTCTGATCATAGAGTGATGCAAGCTGACTTAAATGGGCTGTAAATGACAATAATCCACAATCAAGCAGCAAGAGAGAAAATAAAAACACTGGCTTCATTGTGACCACATGCCACATGATAAACAAAGCATATATGTATTATTTGTATTGCAAGACATTGCTCATTTATCAAGTTATAATTCATTTAAATTTTTTACTCATATGGCAAAACACTTGTTAATCAAGTTATTCCCAATCCAAGGTTTTATAGTATGTTCTATATGAACACTTCTTTTGCACATTTGAAAACAATTTCTTTAATCAGAAAACTGTTCTATTTTTAAACAAATATTTTTAAATGCAATATTAAAAATTAAAAAAATTAAAAATATATAACTGACCTGCTTTATGTTATCAAACTGCAAAACATCTCTTTGACTAAATGATAAATTAATACGGTTCATAAGACTGCAAAATGAAGAACATATTTCCATAATTTCATACAGAGGATGGTATACCTAATTACAAAAACCCTTTTATTTCATAATTCAACAACAAACTTTCAAGCACAAAAAATATCAGTATTATTTTTTAACAAATTTCATGAAAAGTAAAAAGAAATAATATTTTATGGTAAATAAAGCATAAACTAGGCATAACATAAAGGAAATTTTCTCATATTTTTCCTAATGATCAGATGATGATTTCCTACTGATCAGATGAAATTTTTTCCTTATTGTCTGTTTATGTGTCCCCCCCCCAACAATTTGAGAAAAAAAATTAATTTTTGAAAACTATTGCAGTGCATTTATAATAAACACCTTTTAAATATAAATTTGGCATTTGTAAAAAAATAGTAATTTTTTTTTATTAGTGAGGAGCCTACAGATATTTTACAAATATCATAAGAAGTATGTAATGTTATTTGCAAAGATAAATTTTTCACAAAAGGAAATTAATAATTAATTAGTATTTATTTCATTACGAGAACTATTTTTTCAATTTTAAAAACATGCACTTTCATACCGTCTTGGAATGCAATAAAAAGTACCTTTCCAGAATGACTTTATTAAAATGCATAAATCTCTTACATTTGCTAAAAATCTGAAACGTATAATTTCTAATAATATTTTGGATGTTATGATGTGTAATTAAACTGACAGAATATATTAATTTTATTTGATAGTAAATTATTGATTCCATTGATTATATTTTGATTATAATTTTAGAAGAATACATGATACCTGGAAGCACACAAACAATAGATTAATTTCTATTTTTACATTATGCCATAACCTATACCAGTGTTAAACAAATTCTGGCTCAAAAGTTCAGCTACTTGAGTGCAGCTCTACAACAAATCGATTTGGACAATATGATGACGACTGGTGTGCAGGTTGATGTAGCACAGGCAGCCATAAGATAGGCAATGCAGTCCAGAGAAGGCACATGCGACTAATGCACAATTTGAGTGATCTACTTGGTGCATTAAACTATTTGTATCTTTCAACTAGCTCCAGATCTCACAGGTACTTTTGGTATCAATTTAGTGAGCTGTTATAACTTTGTGATGCTGTTTTTATTGTCATAAAATGAAACATGTTTTTAAGTGCCACCTATTTGACATGGCTACAAAGAAGAAGGAAGAAAAAAGAAAGAAAGAAAGAAGGACGAAAAAAATTGTGAATTTAAAGTTGAATGGACCAAAACGTTTTTATATTTATACAAACTACAAATGGCCTTCCAACACCTGCCTTATCTGTCCCCCCCCAAAAAAAAGAACAGCTAAATAAGCATCATTTGACAGTAGATATCCTGCAAGGAAGAAAGCAGTGGAGGAATTTCAGAAGAGTGAAAAAAAAACCAAATTCTCTAATTTAATCACTGGGTGCAATCTTTCACCAATAGTAATATTGTAATATAGCTAGTCAAAAGACTGCTAATAAAGACAAACACACACAAAAAGTAAATACATTAAAAGTTGTTTTTATAAATGCATCTAAAAGTTATTCCAGGATTTTAAGAACAAGGAAGGCATTCTTCAAATTATTAAAAAATTAGCACTATCTGCTAAAATAAAGACAGAAATATCAAAATGTGTTCGAATATAACCAATCAGTAAATTGAAGATATTAAATTGGTTTCAGCTTTATGAATAGCTGTTGACGAATCTTAGGACATAAATGACAAAGTGCATTTCCCTTTTTATTAAATTTATTTTGTTTATGGATCTTAAAAAAGAACTTTTAAGATTACTGCCACAAAAAAGTTATATATGTGAGGTGATGTGGATGTTGTAAATGCTGTCAGTGAATGCATGGAGAATCATATTTTACTTGATGAAACTGTTTCAATTTCAACAGATGGGGCATAAAAGTATGACCAGAGTGAGAAAAGATTTTGTTTCTAGTTTAATTTTAAGAAGCAAATTAATCATGAGATACTTGTTTACCTTGCATCATTCATCAAGAAGTGTTTTGGGCACAGATATTTCCAGAAGAAATTTACGATGTTATGAAACTGGTGATTAAGACTGTGGGTATAACTAGCTAAAACTCTTTATTATCTTATTTAATGAATTTTCAGTTGAAATTAAGTGTGAATATACTGATCTGCAGCATAATACTGTACATTGGCTTTCAAGAGGAAACTTTTTAAAATTTCTTCATTATTTGAAATTAAAGCATTTCTCCTTGAAAAGGGTGTTGAATATACTAAACTAAGGGACAATCAGTGCATTCAATTTTTTCTTCCATTAAATGTTACATCTCATCTAAATAAATAGCTTTAACAGTAAATTACAGGGGGAAAAAAAAAAAATTTTTTTTTCAACATTGGAAGAAATCATTTCATTCAAAACAAATTACTCCTTTTTGATCAAGATTTCGAAAGTGAAACATTAATTCATTTCCCAAGGCTGCTGAAACATCACAAGAAAATAATCCAGTAATTGGCATTTACTGCTTCAAAACTACAATTTTAAATGTGGGGGAAGGCTTTTATTAGAGGTTTCAGGTATTTTGAAATTTCAAAAACAGTATAGTGATGTTAGTCTTTGTTAAAAAACGTCTTAGTGCTGATGTAACAAACTGAATTTTTTCCCCCTACTGGCACTTTTGATGCAAAACTGAAGTTTAGAAAAAGGAATTAAGAAGCTCTAAGTTTGAACATCTTAATATTATATCTTGCAGAAGTTCTAAATATTGTGCGGCCATTAACGTACCTTGGTAAAATATTGAGCCGATTAGCCTGTTATTACAAATTCCATACCAAACATTAATCGAAAACTGATGATGGCAAACTTTGACAGAACATAATGGATTTTCCAGTGCCCAGTAATGGGTGTTCTGCCTATTGTACATTTCATTCCATAAAAAGCATGCCTCATCTGTCCACACTTTTGCAGCCAAGAATGTTGGCTGGACTTCTGTTTGGTTCATGACGAAGTTGCACCATGCAAAATGTCTCTCGGCATCCCTGTTCAGCAATACCTGATAAGGTGTTGGTCGGTATACACATGAGCACCTAATTCATTTAGGATTTTTCAAAAGCGACTTTTTGAGAGGACACATTTATCTCTCTTGTGCTACTGTTTGGATATGTGAGGCCGTATGATAAAACATCTTTTGGTTGCACTTTCCGCCCTACCTTAGCTGATCTGCCAGATCGAAGTCGGCTAGTCACTCAGCCCATCGCCCTTAAATGTTTCACAGTCTGTAGGATGGTTTAGTATGAAAGATACCGGCCTGCAGGAAAATGTTGCCAATGCAACTGAGCTGCCGATTGTTCCTTGCACTCACATTTCATCTAACAGTAATCATTTTTTGAAAATTGCTCCATGACCATGAATTTCAACATACAACCACAAGGAGGTATCCATTTTATGGCTGTCTCAGGCGAGCAGGTGTGACGCTTTATACACTACAGTCAAATACTGAAAATCCGCCGACCTGAAATCTGCGTTGCCTCTCAGAATATAAACATTCTGTTTATAGGTTCTGGAAACCGCAACATTGAGTAAGAAATATTGAAGAAAAAAATACTTATTGAATAATGACATCATAATTACCGAATAATAATGAGTCAAAACGGAAATACCAAATTACTTATATAAAAAAGTAAAAAGAAAATAAGATGAAATAAATACGATAAGTTTTTTTCCCTCTAATCTGCATCGAGGTAAAAAAGCAGACGATTCACTCAACTCTTTGTTCAACTTCATGATTTACGATTTTGTATTTTCTGAGCTTTGTTATTTCATTTCACGAGATTGTTTAGTGCTGCCTTTTTTTTATCCGGATATTTTGTGGGTAAATTAAGAATATTTTTAATTTCAGCCTTTTTTAATACAATCACAGATAAGAAACGCACTTGTGATTTTACTGCTTGCTACGTTGAAAAATGGGAACACAAAAAGTGCAAATTCTGCGAAAGATGGAAGCAGGTGCTACTCCTCGATTAATAGCAGAATGGTATGGAATTGTGACACAATTGTGTATGATATATGGAAAAATAAAGAAAAGCTGTTGAAATTTTACAGCAACAGTGATTCTCACACCAGAATCCGAAACCGGAAATCTTTGCATGAGGCAAAATCGGCAAACCTCGATGCTGTGTACATATAATACAATGAATAATATAATCAATTTTATATATGTAATAATAATTTAATGCATAAATAAATTGCAATAATATATAATAATTTAATTAAATGTATCTAATGAACAAATTCGCACACCAAGCTCAAGTTGGTTTGAGTTGATGCGTTTTGCAACACGCTTGTGCATGATCTGTATGTTGTCTACTTTGTTTGTAAAGACAGTCAGTCCAAGGATGCATCTTGAGAGGTTTGAACCATAGTCCTCTCGAATTTGAATTACAAGCAACATCACTATGTGACGATACAAGAATTGTTTTCATCTGAAAGAGAATCTTTTTTCCTTTCGTTCAAGTTTCGTGACGTCACAGTTTCGAAAATCGCGAAGAAACAAATGTGCATTTTCAGCGTATTGATTTTAGCATTCCTATTCACAAGGTGTCTATTTATACTAAACTGACGATGCTATACAACTTTGTAATTCACTTTTTCTTCCCATCTTGTATCGTTTTCGAGATAGGTAGGCTAACTCCGCAGTTTTTCACTAGGTGGTGCTGTAAGCTATCTCATCAAGTAGCGCATCTAAAATTCGATAGTTTCTGTGTTATATTTTTAAGATTTTCTTGCTTTTACATATGCACGCCTGCATGTGCTATTTTGTACAAAAGCCTCACTCAAAGAGCTACATTTGGCTTGCGAGCCACGTTTGCCGATCCCTGCCCTAGAATAATCTGGAGACTGAATGTCTTTATGAATTATGTAAGTATATAATTAGTAATTATTAATATAACAGGCTTGTTGCCTTCTAGTTTCACTCAATACAAGAATGAATATGTTATTTCTCATGGATAAATTAAAATGTTGTTTTTATGTGAATTATGTTGTATTTATGAATAATGTTGTATTTATGAAATTATGTGAATAAATAACATATATTTTGATCTTGCTACATGAACAACAGCATAGCTCAGTTAAAAACTGTACTCATACCTAATCTTAAGTTTAGACCACTTTTGAGAAGATTTCTAATTTCATTTCTATTTTAAAAGTATTAGAAAAAAACACAAGGGCATATTTTGACCCTACACTTGTAACAATAATCAGATATGTTATTATGAACCTGATATTTCAGATCAATGTTATTTTAAACTGTATTAGGCACTCACTGAGTATGCCCAAAAATGTTCTCCCCTCTGTTTTTATGACTATAAATTTAGTTTAATTACATATTAAAATAAAATTTAACAAAATGTTGACTGCATTTAGCTTTTTTTTATATCCTACTAAAAAGGCAGATATAAATTTATTGCTTCACTTAAACTAAAACAATTCAATTACCTTTACATTTACGAAAATAAGCCAATCCACATTTAAGCTCAGAGTGCATATTTTCTTTAAAACTACCCCAAATGGAAAACCTGTATATAAGCCAAAATGAAAAATTTCTGTAATGCACATACATGGTGTCATGAGAGTGAAAATGCTGCCAAGCTGGCAAAACAGGTAGAATATTTTCCAGTCAATAGCTGTAAAATAAAATGTCAGATGCCAACATAATAGTTTTAACGCTGGAGAAAAGTAGAAATTAAAAAAAGTAGATTTAGTATTGGTTATGCATTGGGAAAAAGATGCATGGTTGGAGATTCCACTGTAGAGTTATTCAGGATTTTTTTTTTTTTTTTTGTTTTGTGTGTGTGTGTAGGAGACAAGAATAATGTGTAGTGCCCTCGCCAGGACTCGAACCTTGGACTTCTCAAATACGAGCTGAGTGTGCTACCATTACACCACGAAGGCATGCAGAAAGGAGGGAGGAAGTACCTTATACCACCTTCCTTTTAAAGAGTGAGTGGGGATTAGGGGACTCAATCGCCAAATCCTGGTGGTGGAGAATCATCATCCACTGCCTTTTTTAGTTTGGGTACCACTGTAGAATCATTAGATTTTTTTGACGTGGAAGACGTGAAAAATATATAATGCTCTCACCGGGACTATAACCTGTTTCTCTCGAATGTGCGTCAAGTGTGCTACCATTACACCATGAAGGCATGCAGAGAGGAGGGAGAACATATCTTATACTATCTGGTTTGGTTTATTTGGCAAAGCACACAAGCATTATCTATTTAGAGACATAGATTCTCATACAGAAAGTATAAAAGTGATGATGATTTGCATCCAGACATCCCAATGAGTGAAAGTGGATTTTAAGAATATTCAGAAACTCTGACTATCTAAAAACATGAACTTTGGAGGATTTTATATGACTTTTCCCCCCTTATCTTCATAAAGTTTGCATTGCAAATACACAAAAAGTAAATTAAAAGATTAAAGTAATTTTCCTTTCCCACTGTAAATTTGATGTGCTAATTACATACATTATTCTGTTGTTACTTCTGGCATATGTTTTGATACTTTTCCGTAGTAATGTGCAATTTTCACCGGCATATACTTTTTATTTTAGCGACACTGCAACAAAATGGAAATGTAAACAAATTATAAAATAAAACAAATTTCATTTAAAATGAATTTTTTCGTAAATTTAGAAAATATTAAACTAATGCAATAAAAAAATGCTGTATCTCGAAATTTATCACTTGTAGCAACTAAAAGAAGAGTACCTGCATTTTTTGCAAGAATTGTGAATTTATAAAATCCAACACCACAAATTAACTTTAGAAAAAGTTCCACAAATTCTTGGCTTATTCACAGAAATATACTGAAGATACTTTTATTTCAAGATTACCTCAAAATAAAAATTACAGTCAAAATTCTTTAATCCGGACGTCCATAATCCGTAATCTATAATTCGGACCTCAAAGCTACAAACTTTCTGCGCATGTGTAAACGCATCGCATATGACCTTTACACATGCACATAATACATTTACGCATGAGCGTTTAATGTATAACGGACGGTATAAGCTAAGCTAAAATTATCTAATTATCTATATTAGTTAATGTTGCAGATTGTGTTGTTCCTTAATCTTCGAATTGGATACGGCTTATTATTTTTTGCAGACTGTTAGACCAGTTTTATAAAAGTACGCTTGAACTTTCGATTATGTCAAAAAAGAATTTCCGATTCTGGAGCTGCCAAAGTATCTACGAAGCAGTGAAAGCATGTTTCGATGTCCATCAAATAAATAGTGGAATTGCTGCAAAAAATGGATAAAGGCATATCCTTTGTTTCTCTAACCATTCCGAAATCTGTTTATCAATTTCACGCTGCTCTGCGGGGGGGGGGGGGACGTCACGGCGCGAAATGAACTGGAAGTTGATCTGTCAGCACTATCCTTATCTTCAGAACAGATGTTTTTATTTTATTCGGCTCATAATTCCTTACTAAATTTTAGTATTTCATCTCGATGTACTCTGTCTTTGATATGATTTAAATCTAATTCCTCATCATTATAAATATCACAAATACACATCAAATGGTTTTCTGGTTGCAGTTTTCTAATTTCGACTATGCATAATGTATGCTTCACGCATGCATGCGTTGAAAGAAATGTTTAAAAAAGTAAACAAATAAATATTAAGCTTTTTCTTTTGTAAATTTTGATACCCTTTAGATCATAATTGCTCTTTATTTCATAAATTACGGTTTCATATTTTTAATTTTATAATTTCTGTATGCCATCTTACCTGATTTAAATTGATGATCTATAATCAGGAAAAAACGATAATCCGGAATCGCCAAAGTCCCAATGAGTCCGGATTAAAGACTTTTGACTGTATAAACAATACATATTGCATAAAAAGTATTTTAGCCCGATGAATACATTATAATGTCATACTTCCCAATACCTATGTAAATAAATGAAAATGCCAATCTTAAGATATAATTGTATGTTTTACTTACCGTCCACAACTCTAAAAAGCACTGAGATACTACAGATATTAAAAAACGATTATGATATTGCTGTATTTCTTCAAAGTCTTTCACATTTCCCATTTTTTCCATAAGGTTACTGAAACAGGATTCTAATACATCCACCTGAATATAAAATTTTATACATTGTAAAATTTAAAAAAAAAAATAAATAAATAAAAGTTCTCTTTATGTTACAAAATTCAAAGGTGAGAAACAATGAAATTTTTTAAATAAAATTCAAGTTTTAATTGTTTATTTATGTTTTTAATTTAAACTTTTTATTCATTACCATTATTTCTCTTTTTAAAAATAGCACATAGAAATTAATAAACATATTGCATTCCTTATATAAATAGCATAATCAAAAACATACAAAATATACTTATCAATGTGCCTTAAACATTTACAGATCCTTAGAAAAACTAATGCCTGCTTTAGTGCAAAATGCAAAAGCTGATAAGTATAATTTAGTAATAAGCATTCATAAGTATATAGTAGTAGCCTAATAAACATGGTGTTTCACTACTAGGCTGACCCAGTAAATGACTTATTACGGAAAAGATTTGTTAAATGAAGATTAAAAGTTATGGGGTGGCTGCTTTGCTGAATGGAAAGACAAAAAGAGACCAAGATCAAAATTCTACAGTCCTCCTGCATCATTCTAACTCTTATAGTTGAGATACAAACATCTACTTTATTAAACCTTTTTTTTTTTTTTTTCCATCAATGGTTAATAAAATTTAACAACACATCTGCATCATGTTTTGAGTAAAGATGAGTAAATTTGCTTCTGAAGATTGTGAAATACTACTTAAGAATTCTGGTGATGGTTCATTAGAAGTTTCTGAAATGCACACACACTTTAAGGATGAGTGAATTTCATCTGAAGATTATAGGAGTTTAGGCTGACTAAATACTAGCAAAATGGCAGAAAATATTGAAAAAATTCAGAAATTCATCAAGGATCATCACTATCTAACAATTCATGAATTAGATGGTTACATTAGAATTGGTAATGAATTTTATCAAGAGATTTTTTTAAAAAAGCTTTAAATGTGGTGCATTCTTGAGAAGCTAATTCTTTAATTCTTGACAAACAATAAAATAAAACACCACATAAACAAGTGTTCTGAGCTTCATGAAATTTGTAACCTGGTTAACTTTCTTAATGTAAACTTCATTCCCAAAACTGCAATGTGTGAAATTAAAATTTGTCATTAAAATCTAAAAATAATGCAGCAACCGTATCAATGAATCATCATCAGTTTTTCTAAACTCTGCAATTAATTCTGACTTTTATTGTGATATTCTGAGGTAGCTGAGAAAACATGCAATCCAAAAAGAAGACCAGACATCTGGTGCAGTTGCAACATGCTCACTCATCAAGATAACATGCATCCCAGAAAATCATGTAATTTTCAGTCATGCAAGCTAATAACAACATGGCTTTTGTTCATCAGCTTTCCTATCCATATTAACTAAATTGCTGTGAGTTTATTTTATTCTCTAAATCTGAAACAAAACTAAAGGGATGATGTTTAAAACTGCGGCCCAAAATCAATGGAAATTACAAGCAGTCTCCAAAAACCTCAAAGAAAAAGATTTCTACATTACTTCTTTTGCACAGGGAAATCATTAAGATTATATGTTCACAAGGACACTACTTTGAATGAGATGACAGCCAAAATTGAATAAATTAATACAAAACTTATTTTTATATCAAGCCCAGAAACTTTTGATAGCATCTCATACTAAATAAATACTGTTCAAAAAGTACTGGAATTGAAATCCTTTTTGAACACAGGGCAAAATGTCTTGCAAATATACACTGCCAAAGATACAGACAGTGTATCAACAGCAGTTTACAAGTGATATTGCCTTAATTTATCCAATGGGAACAGGGAAACATCCCTCTCTTTCATCAATGCCCAAAAGAAATAAGACTGTTGGGTCAAATTCATTAAGATGTTTAGTCATTTAGAAATCATTCTCTCCTGAAAAAATGCCTGATGAACTGCATGGATGTGTTAGAAGTGCTTCTTATTTACAAAAACTTGCAGAGAGGGCGAAAAATCACCTAACAGGTTAATAAACTCTCCCAAAACTTTCCCATACGATATAGAAAACTGGATCCATTATGCTAGTATAAATACTTGAAATATTGATAGCCTATTTGTCTGCAGGTGGATGGCATACAAATGTTATGAAGCCCAAATATGGATGTTCCGGAATTTAGATAACTTGAAAAGTGTAATAAACACTATTGCAAAGCAGTGCATACTCATTAGTTTCAATATAACTTTAAAATTATCAACAATAATGATACTTCTTTACTTTTTTTCTTCTTTCAGGCACGACTTTGTACCAAAATGAAATGAAAGATGTGCATTTCTCTCATTCTGCCCCCTTCCTCCTACTGCTCGAAAACATGATAATGTGGACTGCTCTGACCGATATGAAAGAAATGCTCACAGTGACTGCTGCAACTAGATCTGTACTTCTTACACCATATCCTATTAAAAATATTTAATATCAATGTGTTTAAACTTTTTTTCACAGCTTTATATGTTATCAGCTTTGATAATTTCTCATATTGCTCTTGAAAACTTTTCTGATATGGCTTGCATAATCCTATTATACAAGTTTGCACAAGAAAAAATAGGATGATTTGTCAGTTGACAAGTGGCAACTTTAACAAAGTACACATGGAATCGTGTCTGCACGACATGCAAAGCTATTTGTTTAAATGATGTAAAAACAGGCATTTTTAATCCTGCATATTCAGCTATTTTGTACCATAGTTTAATCTTTCAACAGGCATCGCTGGATTAATTTAGTAGGTCAGCATTACAAGAAGCACGTATACAGTCAAAAGTCGTTTATTCGGACACCCATAATCCGGAATGATCTATAATCAGGACGTCAAAGCTACAAACTTTCTGCGCATGCGTCGCATTGACACATGCGCATAGGCGTTTACACCTGCCTGTAAGACCTTTACGGCTGTGCATATGCGTGTGCGCATGCGCATAATGCGTTTACGCATGCACGTTTAATGTATAACAGACGGTATAAGCTAAAATTATCTAATTCAGTTAATGTTGCAGATTGCGTTGTTCCTTAATCTTCGAATTGGGTCGGCTTATTATTTTTTGCAGACTGTTAGAGCAATTTTATAAAAGTAAGCTTGAACTTTCGATTATGTCAAATAGAATTTCTGATGCTGGAGCTCCCAAAGGATCTACAAAGCGAAAGTATGTTTCAATGTCCATCAAACAAAAAGTGGAATTGCTGCAAAAAATGGCTAAAGGCATGAAGAAAGTGACAGAGAGGTTAGTGAAAACAAAAAAATTTCTATTGACAAGTTAGTCGGTATTCTCGGCACAGGAATTACAGGACTTGAACAGCGGAACTTTGTAACTAAACAAGAAATTATGTCTGTTTATATAGAATTAAAGAGAAAGTATTAGCACATAAAACGAAGCAAATTAAACAACTTACATTGAAAGAAATGTTTAATAAAGTAAACAAATAAATATTAAGCTTTTTTTCGTAAATTTTGATACCCTTTAGATCATAATTGTTCTTTATTTCATAAATTACGGTTTCATATTTTTAATTTTATAATTTCTGCATGCCATCTTACCAGATTGAAACTGATGATCTATAATCCGGAAAATCGATAATCCGGAATCGCCGAAGTCCCGACGAGTCCGGATTAACGACTTTTGACTGTATTACTTTGCAACAGCAGGAAAAAGTAGGAGAAAAAGATTAAAACAGAAGCTTTGTTAGGATAAAATATCGAATCTCTAATTAAAATAGAACTTTATGAATGCGGATTGTTTCAAGGAGACAAAATCTTGAGTATGGCTGGGATGTTTTGTGTCATTCTCCTATATTTAGTAAACCTTGATTCCTCCTTGGATTTTCATCTCTTTTAAGTTCATTTCAAAATTCTCTAAATGACCGGAGTTCACTTATTTAGAAATGGCAAACAATTTCAATAACTTCTTTATAAATAAACCTAATTAATGACTTTAGAAAAAAAGAAATTTTCTAGTTATCTGCGAGAGATGGACTATGAAAAGTCATAGAAAAAACATTGCTGATGTCATTCAATGAAATTTGCTTATGTTTTTGTACTGGCCCATTTGTATTATCACTAAAAAACTGCATAACTTTCTGAATGACACAATAAATTCTTATGGGGTACATTGTGTTGATGCTACAAAATTTTAGAATGAGATGTTATCTATTATTGCCAAATGGTTTTGGCAATAAGTTCTTCAGTTGTCCCTCAGTGCTGAAATTCTAACTATGGCTCTATCAAAGCTATGCACTAGGGTAAAGGCTTCCAAACTTTTAAACACTGTATTCCAGTTTTTAGAAACTGAATATATATAGGGTTGCCACTCAAACAGGAGAATGAAATTCCCTGACTTTTCCAGGTGTGTTTCAAGAAAATTCCAGGCTATCTGCATAGTGCATGTTAGCTTTGCTGAGAGCAAATTAATTATGGTACCACCTTGAAAACACAAAAATTTGGCAATTATATATGACTTTATATAATATATATCCCCAAATAGGAGTTGTTTCCTCCTCTTAGGATTGAGATTAGAATCTGCCCAATCGAGATTTAAAAATGTCTTTACTGCAGACATTTTGCAACTAAAAGAAGAAAGAAGTCTATTTAATGATGTTTTAAAACAAACTCAAATATTTTATATTTATTTAGCAGCATATATAAGTAAAAATTTGTGCACTAAATTTTGTGATGGTTCATCATATTACTGCTAGAATTCATTTCCCGAGTATGCCAGAGAAAATTGCCTGAATTTTGAAAGTATTACTAACTAATAATAAATAAATTTAGAAGGAAGAAGCTACATATGAATAACATTAATATAAAGTTCATTACATAAGGATTAAAAACCGAATGACAAAAATCGATGGTATTTTGGTGAATATATATAGTAAATGGTTAGCCCAGATAATTGATTATTATTATTTTTTTAAATTTATTTTACTGGAAAATGACAAATAAGGCATTTAAGAAAGAAGAAAAAGGTTTAAATCATTTTGTTTTATATGAGAATTGGGAGAATTTACTGTCGTTCAACATGCACTGCACATACGGATCTCTGGATTTTCGAGGTTACTGGAAACCAAAGATGCTGGAAACTTGCTTTGTCTTTCTAAAAGACAATCTGATTGGCTCTGAGAAAACCGGCTCCACGCCAGCTGTCCGAATGACATTCACGTGATACACGACTCGCCAAGAAAGAGACCACTTCCGACGTTGGTGCAAAAATCGCTTTTTTGGGGATTGCAGTATGAAATTCCCCAACTTTTCAAGATTTTGACTAAAATATTTAAATTCCCTGATTTTTCCCTGACTTTTATGGCCAATTTTCAAATTCCCTGACTTTTCCCAGTTTTTCAGGTAGTGTGGCCAACCCTGTATATAGTGATCCACTTCATCCTCAGCACAATGAATTTTTTTTTAGAAATGAACAGCATGAATATTTGAGAAAAAGGTTTTATTGGTCAAAAAGAAAATTTTGTGAAGAAAATAATATTTATTATTAAATGTAATTTTAGAAAAATATTTCTAAAAAGTTTGTGTGAACAGTGCACTTGTTTTTGATTGTTATTGACAATAGCGATGAAGTCCAGATCAATTTGAGTTATTTCCAGAGGCAAGGAATTTGACAACTGCATCTTGTTTTGATATTCGGTTTTAATTCCCACTGTAACCAAACTATACAATTTCACAAAGATTATGAAGATATTTTTACATATTTATACCTCTGAGAAGTTGGTTTTTTATACTGGGAGTAATATAATATAATTGAGAGTATAATAATTTTTATATTGGGAGTAATATCTTCAAATCGGTAGACTGCTTAAATTAATCATTGAAATTAACCAATGCTCAGTAGAAATTAATTACTTCAAATTAGTCACTGCTCAGTAGAAAGAATTGAGTTAGACTGTTGAGTGGGTAACCACAATTGTATCAATTTACTGCTATTAAAATTCAGTTTTGATAATGTATTTCAGATAGGTCATTAAGATCTTCATCAGCTTTCAATGATATACAATTTCAATGCTCAGTAGAAATTAATTACTTCAAATTAGTCACTGCTCAGTAGAAAGAATTGAGTTAGACTGTTGAGTGGGTAACCACAATTGTATCAATTTACTGCTATTAAAATTCAGTTTTGATAATGTATTTCAGATAGGTCATTAAGATCTTCATCAGCTTTCAATGATATGCCAACAGTAATATTGCTGTGGAAGGAACGCAAAATTTAGTTTTCCTCTTGCCATTTCTTCAGTACGAATTAAAATTTTCTTTCAAAGCATTTAAATGTTTTGAGATCTCAATAATTATGCTATCAGAAATGTTCCCATTATGTTCGATTACAAATGTTTGAGCCCCCCAACCGGCAGTGGTTAGCGTCGCGGGTTGTAATGCTGAAGGGCCCAGGTTCAAATCCCGGAGAAGGCATGGCTGTTTGTAAATGATAGTCTCGGTATGGTATGGTGGCAGTCTAAATATGCGGCAAGCCGAAAATACTCTCGTGCAGTTTGGTAGAAAGGGAGAGGGATGGGAGACCCTTGGACACATCTCCCCGGGCTGCTCTGCATCAAAATTGAGGTCAGAACTGAGCTTAATCACACTGTCGTCTGTCAGGTGCTCAATGCTGTTGCCAACGGCAGGTGTATCTTGCACTCCTTGCCACGAAAAATTTCATGGGCTTGGGCTGATGTTACTGTCAGACAAGTGAGCATAAGTAACAACAATAACAAACGTTCGCAATGTTTCAAAACTCTCAAATATATGATCTTCAATATTTTTTTACTATAACAGCATTTTTTTTTATGAATCCTCAGATTCTGTCATGCACAAATATACTTGTACATCTCATACCTTGTAAGTATAAATTTAATTTACTAAGATTGATGAATATGTCTGCTAAATATGTGAACTTCAAAACAAATTTCAGCAATGAAATTACTGTAATGAATTTTCTCAATTCTTTACTGGTGCCCCAAAACATTGTGACTTCTTCAAAGAGTCTTGGTAGTATTTTGCCTTTTTATAGCCATTTACTGCCATATGCAAAAGAACTGATTTATGGTTATTTCTCATTTCTTTGCTATGCTTTTCAAATTGGCCCAATTGCAATGGTCTTGGTTTTATTACATTCATTCTTTCAACAACAATATACAAAACATTTTTAAAATCATCTGACATAGATTTTGATACCAATGCTTCTCTGTGAAAGTTGCAATGAGTCCATGAATCAATGAGTCCTTTTAGTTACAACACTGCTATTTTAACTGCACACAGCTCATGCACTATCTGTTAATATCCCAACATATTCATTCAAAAATTGATATCGTTCGGGCATATCATCATATACCAGTCCATCCAGATCATATACCGAAAACTGCAGTTTGCACCCCATTTGGTCTTTTCGAATTTCCGTTTTTAAATTTCGGACTGTGCGGAGCAGCTCAAACCTTTCAAAAGGTTTATGACCGAAATTCTTGGAGATATAAAATTCGCCTACGTCTACTTAGATGATATTTTGATATTTAGTAGTGATACAGAAGACGATGAGCATAAATCTCACCTACGTACTGTTTTGAAAGATTAACTTCATATGGATTGACAATTAACACTTCGAAATGTGTTTTCGGCGTTCCGGAAATATCTTTTTTAGGCCATATAATCAATAAAGATGGTACCAAGCCTCTGACGAACAAAGTGGAACCGATACTTAACTACCCATTTCCTAAAACTGTAAAAGATTTGCAGAGATTTTTTAGGATTTTAAAATTTTTACCGTCGATTTTTACCCAACATAGCCCAGAATCAAATACATTTAACTTCGTATTTAAAAGGGGCTAAGAAAAATGATAAGACAATCCTGAATTTGTCTGAGGAAGCGCGGAGTGAATTTCAAAAGTGCAAACAGCTAATCGCTAATGCTGTTCTTTTGGCACACCCGAAGAAAGATGCCCAGTTGGTTTTACAGGTTGATGCGTCAGACTTCGCGATTGGTGGAACGCTTATCACAAATAGTTGATAGAAATTTACAGCCTCTTGCATTTTTCTCACGAAAGCTTTCGCAGGCGGAAAGGAACTATAGTGCATATGATCGAGAGCTATTGGCAGCTTATGCTGCTATTAGGCATTTTAAGCATATGTTGGAAGCACGGAACTTTTCTTTAATCACCGATCACAAACCGCTCACGTATGCATTCCGACAGCGTTTGGATAAGTGTTCACCTCGTCAGGCTAGGCAGTTAGACTTTATCTCACAATTCACCACTGAAATTCGCCATATAAAAGGTTCAGAGAATATCGCTGCCGACGTACTTTCGCGTATAGAAGCAATAAGCATGCCTAAACCCTATCGACTATGAGGAAATCGCTAAAATGCAAGAAATCGACCCAGAATTACAAACATTGCTTAAAGAGTCAAAAGTTCTACATCTCAAAAAAGGTTACCTTACCCGAATTGTAGCTTACCGATATATTGCGATGTGTCAACAGGTAACGCCCGTCCTTACATTCCTCCGGCATTCCGTGAGAAAGTTTTTGCCACCTTGCACAATTTGTCTCACCCCGGCATTTGCGCATCAACAAGTTAGTATGTTCACGGTTTTGTTTGGTCTTCCATCCGCAAAGATTGCGCGAAATGGGCACGGCAGTGCATTCCGTGCCAGAAAGCAAAAGTAAGCAGGCATACTAGAACCCCGTTAATGAAGTTTCCAGACCAATCACAGAGGTTTGATCACGTCCACCTTGACCTTGTTGGTCCCCTACCTCCTTCTCAAAATAATTATTACTGTCTAACTATGATAGATAGATTTACTAGATGGCCCGAAGCGGTACCCATACCAGACATAACAGCACGCACAGTAGCACAGGCATTCTATGACCACTGGATTATTCGATTTGGTTGTCTGACTGTTATTACTACCGACCAAGGGCGACAGTTTGAAAGCGGCTTATTTCGAGTCCTTTCCCAATTATTGGGAATCAAGAGGATCAGGAAGTCTCCGTACCACCCACAGGCGAATGGACTGATTGAGGAATTCCACCGTCCTTTGAAAGCTGCCTTAAAAGCGCACGATACCAGTGACTGGGTGGCTGCCCTTCCAACGCTGCTGATGGGTTTCCGCGCCGCTCTCAAAGAGGACATAGGAGCAACCACTTCTGAACTGGTGTATGGAAAGACTATCCGTCTCCCAGGAGAATTTTTCAATCCGACACCCTCCGGATGCGTCCCCCCAAACAGTTTGTGGAGGATTTAAAATCTCACTTTGCCAGTGTCCGCTCGACCACGACTTCTAGCCACGGCCAGCGAACATGTTTTCATTCATCCACGCCTTCCCAAGTCCACATATGTGTTTGTTCGACATGACGGAGTTAGAAAACCACTTCAAACTCCTTATGATGGACCATTTAAGGTGCTAGAAAGACGAGATAAAACGTTTGATCTCAAAATAAAAGGGACTAAGCAAACGATCTCCATAGATAGACTGAAACCCGCTTTTGTAACCATGGACTCTTCTCAAGTTGCTTCCAAGAGTGTGAAAAAAACTTCGGACAATTGTATCACCCATTCTGGACGATTAATCCGACCCCCGCATCGGTATGTCACATTTCGTTGACACTGCGGAGGGAGTATGCAGCAGCAGCGCCAAACAGGCGATACGGACTTAAAAACTGTACAGAAAAGCGCCAATTGACGAAACAGTAAACCCGTTTGGCAAACCTTCAGGCTGATGGGGAGAGAAGAATTTTCCCCGGCAGTCAAGTGGAACTACTTCAACAAATGTGTGCGTCTCTGCTTCGCCAAGATATGTGAACTTGTGTACTCGCATCTGTACTGTGCTCTGAATTTCTTAAGCCGTTATAATGTACCCGGCAACTGTTACTTTTCCTTATTAACTTTGATTATTAATTGTAACATGTCTATCTTAACTAAGATTTCGGCTTTCCTACTTAATGTTAGGGATATTTTCGTATGCACGTGTTACTCACACGTACATCAAATGGGATGCTTTGTCTCAATGTGCCAACATAATTATTTACCTGGGCTTTTGTCTAAAAGTACTTCATCGCAAGTAACACACTGAAGATCGGCATTACCTTCATATTTATTCCATGAACACCTTAAGGCTAAGTAGTCAGAATAATACTTCCTTATCACTTTTTTTTTTGGTCTCCTTGAGTTGAGTTTGAAGGTTCACTTTTGTCTGCAGCTGGTGGTTCATTAACCACTCATCCATAATACAGATGTGATAAAAGAAATGAGAAAGCAACTAAAAATAAACACTATAAGCAACACAAATGATAACAAACCACTTCGAAATTAATGTATATGCAAATGTTCTGAATGTTCATAGTGAAAAGGTACTGTTGGTTCTAATTAGAAGTTTAAATCAGTATTTAACAACAACAACAACAGAAAAAAAAAAGAAAGAAAGAAACCAAGCTGCAAATGGAATTAAAGAACAATATTTACAAGAGAAACTAGACTGGGCCATTAGGTTCAAACTGATATATAAAAGTCAGTTAGGATTTAGAATGTGCTAGATAACATACATTTAATTATGTGCTATAAAGCATAAAAACAACTTCCAAATAGTATGACATCAACAGCTACCACTACTGTCATTCCATACTTTTTCCTTTTTATATTTTTCATAGAGAGTTTTGCTTCATGTTGATGATTTGTGATTAGAATTTTTCCACTGTTATGCAACAAGCAAACTTCTTTGGAAGGATGCCTCCCTCCCACTTAATCTAGCTTTGGTGAACTGGGAATGAATGTATAGTTATAAGAATTACAGCTACATGGAAGATACTGGTACATGCTCATATTCATTTATTCATGTACATGCTATATATGGCATTTAGTAGGAGGAAAGATGTCTTTGTTCTTAACTGAATGTTATCTTAATATTAAAATGTGTACTTTTGACATATGACCTATAGTAGTAACAGCAAAGATATACTGAACAACAATATGAAACCTATGCTAACACATACCAGTACATAATATTGGAAGTTGTCAATAAGAAATGACATGTGAGATCTTAATTTCCAGAATGGCATTATAGCAGATTCATGGCCAGCCCCTTTTGCTCTCATCTGAAGTGCCCAACAATGATGCAATTCAATCTGTACTTTTCTGACAGATAACAGAAATCTGAAAATTGTATTGTACCTGGAAAGAAAGAAAGGGGAAAAAAAAATTATTACCAGAACAAAGTTTTTTGAATTTTCATTTGTGAAAGGTAATTTAAATTTATTAACTTTTAACTTCAAATATTTGCAAAATTGTGACTTAGTTCCATATGAAAGTTCTTAGAATAAAACTCTTTAATTATAATTTTAAATGTGTTACAAAGAATATTTACTAAAACCAAAATGTAGCATTCAGTAATTCATGAGATGAACTAATTAATAATGTTTGAAGTGAATGGCAAAAGATTCTGAAGTACACAAAGTAATAATATATTGGATGGGACACAAACTTGAAATCACACAGATTATACAATTTCTGATTTTTAACTCATTTTACAATATTTGTAACTGCTATGCTTAGCGTTCTACTAATTTTATAAAAGTAAAAATCAGAGGATTAAAAAATAAATAAATAATAAAAATAAAACATAAGGTAAATTTAAGAGGAAAACCATTATCATTAAAAATAGAAAATCAGACATTGAAAATCAGTTGTAACATATTTGCAGCAGCTTTTTTACTTTTGTTAAAAAGCTATTCAGAAATCATTATCTTATTAAGATTTTAGAATCAAGAAATTAAAAAATTGCAGCAATGACTAGTATAGATATTTTTTTAAATATGACTGACAGAAATAAGAATGTTTCATTTTAATGTTACTTTTATAAAAAAAATGATTTTTAATATGTTATCATTATTTTAAGGATATTATAATACTATTATCAAATTCACAAATACTCAAAGTAAAATTTTCATGTACAAAGTTGCCAAAATACTGGCAAGTTGCAAAACCTGATGAATCATAACAAAGAAGTTTGAATTCTCTAAAGGAAAGGTCTTGTTTTTGGCATAATAATGAGGCAAATCCATCTGGTAAGCAAAATGTCTAAGTATTTGCTTAAATTCAGGAAGGTATGAGCAATCCATGCTTAGCCCACACTACTGTCAACACTAACTTGGATCACTTTTCCCATGAGCACATATTTCATACATCTAATGAATGTTTATATGTGTTCTCAGCATGTAATTCTTAGTTAATTCATAGATATGAGGGCATGATGGCCAGTACCAAATTATTGCATTATATTCATAATTTAAGAACTTTATTTTTGCTGGTTTAAAAAGTATTGGTAGAAATAGAAAGAAATAGAAAATTGACAATTTCTCTTATCTTTAATTCTCTGGGTCTATAAAATTCTCTGTTGTGCTTTAGCAAAAATAGACATTTCACATTGTTTCTGGTCTTATGCAACGTCTTAGACGACATTTGCAGTGGTGAGTAACTTTTGTAAAACCCGATAATAATAATTTGCATGAAGATAAAAAATTATATTTGACTATTAATTTTACAAAGACTTCGAAAAGAATGGGGAAAACAGATAATTGAAAAAATATTCTTTTTTTAAATTTTAAAACCTATTTTAATAGTTTATAGTAAATTCCTTAGAAATTTAGAAAATATAAAACAAATATGTGAAGTCATCTTTTAACTGTGTAATAGAGAGAGAGATATTTACTTATCTAAAACACTTGGTGTTATTAATATATGAAGAGGGTGAGGAACATCATACATTAAACCAACAGATGACCATCCAGATTCTAATTTTGCTTTAGATAAGCTTTCCTTGCCCACTTCACCAGCCTCTGAAAAGATTGATCAATCTGTCACAAGCATACAATTTTTAACCAAAATAAATGGTAACAATACAGCGAAGCCATACCTAAAAATTCTATGATATTCTCATTATCATTTCACATACATTACTAGTTAAATGGTAACAAAATTTCTTAAAGAAACTATCCTACAGTTTTTAATGAATTCGGAAGAGAATTAAATAGCAAGTTCAAATCAGGTTATATTTTTTATAATATTCTTACACGTATAAAAACAGTTACATTACTAACATTTATTAAAGACTAAGGTACTTTCAGATTAACTGGACTCCTAGTTTAAATATTTGCTAGAATTGCTATGTTTATGGCATACTTTCAAGTATACATGCAACAATAGCCAATCCATAACTGCATGTATTTTATACATTTTTCAGTACACATGGATTTTCCAGCTTTTTCTTTAACATTTATTTTTGAACGATATCCAGCAGTTAGTCATTTCTGAATGATATTTTCTGATTGCAAAAAGGCAAATAAAAACCATACAGATTTTTTAGTTTTCCTCATCAAATACTTCTTTTTATTACTTTTTACGAACAGCTACAAAGCTATCAGCTGTAATGACAGCTACACAAATGTTTTCTTGGTAAACTCCATGCAACTTTATGTGGGCATGAGGATAGTAAGAAAGTTTCGAAACTTATCACTTGCTTATCAAAATTACATGACTAACACTAGTACAAAAACCTACATCATTTTAAAATCTAATTAATAAAATCCTGCTCAATCTGAAAATTAATAAGTGAAAGAATTATCAAGTATCTTTTACAAATATTTTCCAATGAAAAATATTTAGAAATATATGAAAAATCAAAGCTTTAGGGGCTTTAAAGAATTTTTTTCAAGTAAAGTTTTACAGTTGCCAACTCATGTTGCTTCTTACGTTTTCTTATAGCTGGCACCGTGAATAAATGCACTTTAGTAAAGTATTTTCAAGCAGAAACAAAATTTTAAAAATGGCTTATTTCAGCCAAGTGTGAGCATGAGATAACAGTAGCTGTACAGTTTTAGATGGGGGGGGTGGGGAAACCACAGCTGAGTATGATTGCTAAAAGCAAACCAGTGCAAAATTATACTTCAGTGGGAAAATCATTCCAAAAGAAATAGAATTCTTTAACAAGGAATAGATGTTGATATTTTTCCCACATGCAATATCATGTTCCTGTTTGTTATAAAACACTGTATTTTAATAAAAGCTTTTCATATTATGATTTACCTTATATGAATAGTTACTGTACTATGTTCTAACTACACTAGGATTAGTTTTATTTAAATTATGGCAAAGCACTCTATGGCTATCTGCTTAAGAAGAGAAATGCCATTTTAGATGACTTTCTACAGAAAATTGTCTCATATCTACATCACACATGAGAAAAAAATACAAAAACTTCTTTGCAGCCAAGCCCATTCCCAGGGATTTGAACCTGAGTTGAACTACTACTGGCCACTGCTAGGCCTTATTATAACCAGAATATATAAGTAGTTTCAAAGTTTTATAGTTTATATAGTATAAGTATTTTATAGTTTATTATGCAAACACCAATCAACAGTCACAATTTGAAAAGTGAAACAATATTTCACCATTATAATACTTATATTTATGTATAGTTATGTTGCAGTTTTAGCTAATATGCATATAATCAAGTATGTCTTACAAGCATTTCTTTAATCTCACATAAATAAGGCAAAGTTGCAATAAGAAACAGAAAAGAACAGATTAATGCATCTTTATTACTATTTATTTAAATGATTTGTTAAAAATCAGTATTAAGCTTTAATGATACATATTAAGAAAACTCTCAGAAAAAATTCCAAACTGAGAGGCTTTGGGTAAACACAATAGTATTTAACTGAATAAAATGAAAACTGAAGTGTATCAATATCTAAAAGAACTTTTGGCAAAGTACAGTAAGCAAGAATATAAATCAATAGCAACACTATTAAACCCTGATATTAAACTTTCTGAATCTTCAAATGTCGCCAAAGAAAATAAAAGAGTACACAAAAACAAATCTCAGAGACAAAGTATTAATCCTTAATCAAATCTCTGATTTTAGCTGAATCTACATGATCTGATATTAGAAACTATGTTAGTAGACTTGGTGAATTTAACAGCAAACCAAAAATGAACAAGGCTATTGAACAAAGCATCTACTACACTATCTTAAATCTATGTTATACATGAAAATAGCTTATCAGAACGCAAATAAAAAACTTAAATGTTAATTAGATACAGATTGGGTAGAATCTTGAAATAAAATCTTTTGGTATGTTTAGTTTTATCTTAGATTGTAGCACTATCAAGCATAATAAGAATTGAAGCTTCCAAACAAATTATGCACTTGTGTCAACTATTAAGAAACCTCAGTTTGGAGGAAAAAGCAACAGGAATAACAGCACTGTGAAATGATAATAAAAAATCAGAACATTTAGTAAAGAATCCAATTCATTACTCTAATGAAATGCATAGTAAATTTTGACTTGAGTTAAATGCATTGTTAAGTCTTGACTACCCAGAAAGCTCGAGAAATGTTGAATACCGGATACATGAAAATTCCAAACAGCTGAGTGCATAAAAATGCGAGTCATGATAAAAATATTATATGAATGAAAGAAATTTCTGGTATAATATTATAAAAAGTCATGTTATTTGCTATCAACTTGAATATCAAAAGCTTAATCTAAAACTTATACCATGATATAAATAGGAAATGTTGTGCAATCTCGATGTATGATGTTAAAAACTTAAAAATTAATTTTATGCAGATTTTACATAAAGATTTACCATTCTATTTACTTTACTTTTATATCCAATTTTTTATAAGATGCAGTTGTAACATACTAAAACAGAGCAATAATTTTTTTTAACAGAAGAGATATTAATTATTAAACAAAATACAAGCTATTTGAAATTTAGTAATTTGATTTCATTCTTACTCTTTGTTACAAATTTATCAATGTTGTTAGAAATATGATAATGAATTTGAAAATGATTTTAGATTACAAATAATTTGCACAACATGGTGCAAGTCATTTAGTAGGCAGGATTTAGAAATAAAGGTATAGAGGTAGTTGATGCTAGAGTTTTATATTCGATCCTCTATGACAATGCAAATTTAGCTTTTGCAAAGCTAAATTTAAACAGAAAAGTTAAAAATATTTTTTTAGTCTAAATTAACATCACATAACAGCTTAGTTCTCTCAGTATTAACTTTCTAAGTAACAGCTTAAGATGGAAGCATGATCAATAATATGATAGAAAGAGACGTCCAAGACTTCCAAGGACATACAGATGACAGCAAGTTGTTTATCATTAGTTTATACAGTCATGACAGTGAGGAGTTGTTTATGTTTAGCTTAAAAATGATGGGTGTTTCTTATAGAAGCCCTACTTTTGTACTCTCTCCGTAATGAAAACGAATGAGGAAAGCCTTAGAAATTTGTTCACAGTTCTATGCTGTTTAAATAAAATAAAAAAAAAAAAAAAACCATAAGACAAAAGAGATATTATTGTTTGGGTTGTGAATTCGCACTTAGCCATTATTGGAGATAAATCACATAGTTTGGCAACAGTATCCTATATGTGCTTTACAATGGCTCTTATTTGCTTACACTGTTGTTTTCCCAACAGTGTAAGCAAATAAGAGCCAAAGCTTCCGATTTTTTTTTTTTTTTTTTAAATATTATGGTTACTTGATCTTTCGTTTAGTTGAATGACAGAGAGATAAGCTTTTATTGTACTGACATTTGATTTCATTAGACAGTACAAAGTCTGAGATCTGGTATTGTTGGGACTTCAGTGATTCTGAATTTATTTGGTCATCAGTTTAAATAGAATAAAATGACACCCCTGAATCACCAGCACTTGAAATTAGAATGAGACTCAAAGCTGAAATGGCAATATTTTTGGATAATAAAACCACACTACCTATATTCATCATTCCATTCATTAGAAACACATTTTCTTAGAATATCTGAAAATCTTCAGATTTGCAGCTTTCATCATCATCATGTAATCTGGTAGCTGGTTATAAATTCTACTAAGCATTTTTAAAAACATCTGCAGGGATGCCCTCTTATATCTTGCAATGACCAATGCATCAGATTTTATATTAAAGCATTTGTAGAATTCTTAGATGATCTTAATTCTGCATTAGTTTTTAAAAATGTGCTTTATATTTGCATTTCATTGTGCAAAAAATTCTAATATTCATTGGCTGGTTGATGATTGATGGATCTACGGTTTTGGGTAAAGAGTAAAATGAAGATGTTATCATTTACTAAAATTGTACTTTTGATAAGACTGATAATAGCTAGAAGAAAATAATGTTTCAAATCGGAAAGTAACGAAATAGGACAATTTGATATGTTAACTGAACTTAGGTTACTCAAATATGATTGTTCCTGCTTTCCCTGCTGCTATACTAATAAAAGAAAACCACTATGAGCAATATTCCACTCCAAATAAATGTCTTTTAGCTTTACTTGTTGTTTAGGTATACAGAAAAAGGCTACATACCCCCAAGGACTCAAGCACAGAAAATGTGTCAGTACAAATGTCATTTAAGTGGTGTGACTTCCTAACCAGTAGATGTTTGAAAGGTGGAACAGGAATCTCAGTTAATAGGGAGAAAAATTGCTTTTATTGCATGCATATCTCTTCTCGATTCCCAGACTTTGTAAGGAAAAAAAATCTGATGTGTATACCACATGACTTCCTTGCACGGAATATTAAATTATACACATTTTTTCTTGCATTTCATTTAAACTTATTGGATTGAATTAAATCTATTTCGTCAATAGCGCATAAACCACAATAGAATAAATGCACTCTTTAAAATTCACTATATTTGTTTACCATAGCGACACTCTGGTGCTAAGTTCACTTAACAGAGTTATATTTCGTTCATATTATAAGTCAGAATGCACAAAATTTATATCATTTTGAAGAATTATCTAATTGTTGCCACATGTTCTACTCAAATACTATAATAAATCTAGAATGATGTATAAAAGAAATTAAGCAAACAAAACAAAAATGGAACAGTTTTTCAAAGACGATTCAGTATTTCTCATTCAATTAATTCAGTTCTCTCTTCGCGACAAGGCAAAAATACACAAAACTCAAAATCTTAAACACTTATTTCCTCAAAAAATTCCAGAAAAGATTAAGCATGATTAAATTTGCAATAAAAAATGAAGGCTTTATCTTTGTTGTGAAGCTTAGTCTCTCTAGATTGGCAACAAATCTACTATTCTGCCGTTTCAAATGTAAACAAATATGTCCACCATGTTATTTAAAAATTAGGCTTAACCGCACTTAAAACAGCTTTTATATTGTTGATAATTTTACAAATATTGCTTGCGGATTTCCTAAGGCATAAAAATCTTAACCGGAATATAAGAACAACATAATTCAATCATTTTTAAAGCAAAAAATGCACAATTTACAAACATATAAGGGTAAAGAAACTGAGATCACTGATCCGGGTAACAGAGTGGATAAATACATAAATATATTTATATACGTTTGGTGCGGCCGATCGCAACCAAAATATGAGGTGCACATCTACATGTTATAGCAGTCCTATATACAAAATTTCAACATTCTGAGGTTACTCATTTTTGAGTTATGCGAGATGCGTACGTACGTACAGATGCCACGAAAAATTCTCTTCAGAACTCCTTTTAAAGCAGTTTTATAATTTTTTTTGAAGGAAAAGAGTCTTTTATTCTGTCCTTACCTGCAGATGTCACGCAAAAACATCGTTAAATTTCATTTGATAGCAGTCAAAATGGATATTTTCATCGAAATATGCTGCCTGAAACTTTTCGCGATTTACAATACTTCATTTTTACTTTGTACAAGGAAGTAAAAAAAAATTGTTGCTAGAGTGGTCTGGATGTTAGATCATTCTAGATATTGGACTTTGTACTGTAGTTATATAATAAGGAAGATATCAGTGTTAAATATCTGCAGCAGAAATGTCCACTGATATTTTAACAAAAAATTCTCTGAAACAACAAACATACAAAATATATGAATCTATTGGACTACAGTTTAACATACAAAATGTTTTACTGTTTTATTCTCTTCTCAGCTCTATAAAGGAGAACGTCAAGAATTTTCCTTCCATCTGCATCAGCAGAGTGCTAAAAAGGAGAGATAAAGAACGTGCATTTATATTATAGTAGAAGTTCAGATACTTGTGCACGCAAGTAAATGATTGCAGAAGGTGATTGGAGAGCAGTAGCAGTCAGTGTCTACCATGTACCAATGAATCTAATCTCAATTTTATGGATTCCAAGCACCTGTTGAAGAAAGTTACTAGTATATTTATCTACCAAATTATTCTTTGTGAATTGTTTTCATAAGATACAGCATAATTCACCATGGACAGCAAAACCACTGGCTTTCCTTGAAGTAGAAGAATTACGTATGTATTTGAATATTTTCTATGGTCATTAATATTTACTCCAGTATATCCATGCTTCATATTTACCAATACAGAATTACATTTTATGTCTAAAGATACTAATTAATCATCACTTTCCAGTAGAGTCCTTGCACATGACCTGGCAAAGTGAAAATGATAATGCTTGATTTCAGATATTAATAAGTAATCCTTATTACATATTTTCAGTATATGCAATGACACTAAATTATATTCTAAATTTTAGTTCATTACAAATACTTTCATTCAAATTCTCAACTTCTAGTGTAGCAAATAACTTACTTTTGCTTTTAGCTTGAAGAGTAATCCGAAATTTGTCAGTTATGGAATCATCATCAGGAAATATTATTCGAGCCACACTCTGGAAAATTTTGCTTGCCTCTTCAAATAAAAATTATTATTTCAAAATTGTTTTACTAAATATCTAGTAATAAATAATAATAATAATAATAAGTCTTACCACTTTCAGCAGTAGTAGTCACTGGCATTGACAAAAGTTGGTTTGCTTCACAAATAAAAGCAAGAAATAATTCCCCTCGGCCAAGAAAGTAAAAATCTTTCATTATTTTTAAGTGGTGAACAACATTAGCTCTTTTCACTATAACTTGCCATAGGTGCTTAACACAAAAAGCATAGAGAAATGAAATTCATTAAGGTATTAACATATATATGAAAAATTAATATATATATATTATATATGTATAATAAATACATTAATATTAAATGTATACATTTAATATTAACGTATTTATTATACATAATTCTAAAAATACATTCAACTTTGAATAGTTTAAAAAGCACAAATATTACAACCAAAAATATTTTAATATAACAATAATCAACAGATCACATTAAATTCACTATTAATATTTAACTAAGCATCTAACCTCAGCAGCACATCTTCTGATATCATGAATAGCTGCTTCAAAGCTTAACAAAGAAAACAATGGTTTTTCTAGCAGTTTTTCAATCTTCTTAGCAAAGGCTTGTTCTTTTTTCAAATATAAGGTATCTATTTAGAAGTAAAATATAATAAATGCCAATTATCAGAAAGGAGAAAAACCACAGTCTATATAATTTTAAATATAAAACTTTCAAATTGATTAAATTAACATTTAATCAATTTAAGACTCTATAAAAAAGTCTATTTTCCCCCCCCCCCCTGATTTTGGCAGACTCGAATTTTTATGTGATCCTTTAGATAGGAAAGTATTTCATGTATTTAAAAAAAAATAAATAAAATAAAAATAAAAGGCCTGAAGAACAATTTTGCAAGTAATGATCTCTTAAATAGTCTGATTATTTTACAGAATATAGTCCTTCACTTCTATTACACACATCATTTAAATTATAGATAAATAAAGCTATTGCAAATAAACTGTTTAGTTTTAAACTGAACACAGTTAAAAAAACATTAAAGTTACATAATTTTTAAGTTAATTATATAGTATGATAAAAGTTATCTTTATTAATTTAAAAATAGCGAACTGTTGTCAGAATACAGCAAATATGATTTTACACAAATCATCTTCAACAGTAAGTAATGACTACATTTTGTACTATTCTTCGATTTAAAAACTTAAAAATTATTTCAAACCATTCAAACTGTATACTTATTTAAATTTTATAACAACTGTTAAGTAATAAAGACATCTGCTGATGAAGTTGTAAAGCTGATGAATACACTTTTTTAAATTGAATTAAAAAAAAAAAGCCTAGATATCATTTCTAGATTATTTCTCCTTTAATTCATTGATTTTATTTAATGGGATTTTTGAGATTTATTCTCTACATTACTTTCTTGCTTGCAAAGTTTTTTCATTTTTACTTCCTTATATGAAGCAAGGGAAGGATTGCAATCCCGAAACATTTTAGGTGTCATATTTCAATTAAAATATCAATTATGACTATTCCTGAATGACATCTGAATGACTTGTTTTAGTGTATGGCATCTGTACATACCGACAGAATAATGTACTCTTGTATGCAAATATATATATATGTATATTGCATAACTCAAAAATGATTAGCCGTAGGGAAGGTGAAATTTTATACATGGGACTGCAATAAAATCCTGTTGTGCACCTCTTTTTTTTACCCTCCTGCAGTACCAAAAGTATATATATATATATATATGTACTAAATTCAGGAGCAGGGGCGAATGCAGATTAAATCTTCATTTTTACTTTCAGCAACATTTTGCGGCTACATACAAGTCGACACATTAAATGTGCCGTTCCAAAAAGCTTACATTTTTGATAACTGTGTAGCAAGAAAGCAGCAGCAGACAAACAGCAGTGTAGATAGACTAAAGCATGAAAAGCAAGTGCGTAATGTTCAGGATGAAATCTTAAGTTAGACTGAGTTAGTTTTGGTTTTTCAAAGCATTTTGATTGGAAAGTTAATATTGCTGTAAAATTACTATTGGCTGGTTGAGTTTTAGTTCCATTTACATCATCATAGTTATGTAAAAATCATACAATAGTCTCGAAATGATGCAGTGCAGAGAGGGGTTACTATTTTTAGAATAGAGAAGGGAAATTTACCTTTATAAAAAGTCAACACAGGATTAACCTGGTGCAAGTTTCCCCAATGGTCTTCGAACTCTGCTGCCTGAAACTTCCAGTGAATCAACAAATTTGTTTCCGGTGTGTGATTTAATGGCATGTTCAAAAAGTACTTTGAAATCATAGACTATCTGTAATTTCAAAATTGAAACGTAATTCGAATCATGGTCAGTGTCACCAACGTAGTGAAATATGGTTACCGGTTCTTTCTCGCTTTGAATATTTGTAATGTAAGCATTTCCGATTCTCATCTAAGAAGAAAATTAAACATCTGAAGTACTTTGAAGGTCAGCAACCTCATGAGTGAAACAGTGTTTTGTGCCCATTTTGCATTTTTCAGTGCTCTTATTCAAAGAATGCAGTATCATCAAAAGTTATTCATGCGATATTGAAATGGAATGAAGTTCCAAATGGAGTAATTTGCGTTTTTAATTGACTTTGTATTATAAGTAATTTTGCATTTATAAGTACAGTACAGAGTCTTTAATCCGGACTTCAAAGCTACAAACTTTCTGCGCATGTGCGTTTACGCATGCACATAATACCTTTACGCATGTGCATAATATGTTTACGCATGCGCGTTTAATGTATAACGGACTTTATAAGCTAGGCTAAAATTATCTAATTATCTATTTCAATTAATGTTGCAGATAGCGTTGTTCCTTAATCTTCGAATTGGTTCTGGTTTATTATTTTTTGCAGACTGTTAGAGCAATTTTATAAACGTAAGCTTGAACTTTCGATTATGTCAAAAAGAATTTCCGATTGTGGAGTTGTCAAAAGATCTACAAAGCGAAAGCATCTTTTGATCTCCATCAAACAAAAAGTGGAATTTTTGCAAAAAATGGATAAAGGCATGAAGAAAGTGAAAGAGAGGTTAGTGAAAACGAAAAATTTCAATTGACAAGTTAGTCGGTATTCTCGGCACAATTACAGGACTTGAACAGTGGAATTTTGTAACTGAACAAGAAATTATGTCTGTTTATAGAATTAAAGAGAAAGTATTAGCACAAAAAACGAAGCAACTTTAACAACTTACACTAAAAGAAATGTTTAATAAAGTAAACAAATAAATATTAAGCTTTTTTTTTTTTTTTTTTTTTTAATTTTGATACCTTTTAGATCATAATTGCTCTTTATTTCATAAATTACGTTTCATATTTTTAATTTTATAATTTCTGCATGCCATCTTACCAGATTTAAATTGATGATCTAATCCGGAAAAACCCTAATTCGGAATCGCCGAAGTCCTGACAAGTCCGGATTACAGATTTTGTACTGTAATAGCATTGTTTTACGATTTATTGATGGCAATGTTTTGCTTAAATCATTTTAAAATCAAAGTTAATAATTCAAAAATATTATGATTTATTTAAAATGTAGTTTTCTATTTCTGAATTGGGAAAAAGAAATTCTTGAATTTGGTAAAAATTAGGTAAGGAATTTGGAGGTTTTACTTAAGGGAAGTTCTTAATATGAATAAGATTTTTGTACTATTCCTTAAGTTTCTATGAATTTATATTTTTTTAATTTTTACTATATTTTAGGAATGAAATTATTGTTTAAAAATTTTAAATTCTAGGAATTTCTTTAATATTTTCAAGATAAACGTTGAAGGCTCTCACCTTATAAAAAAATAGTGTGTGTCTTAATTTTTATAATGGAATGACAGCGGTTCAAAAAAGGCCAGTTGCCTCTATCAAAGTAATGAAGGCCTTTTCTACAGTAACTGCTAATTTGGCAAATCTTTTGGCCACTGGTGAAGAATAAACATTAGTTTGCTCAACTGATAAAACAATATGATGGAAATGCTAGTGTTTAGAGAAAGTTGTGCAGTCTTCCAAGTTTTGTAAAGAATAAGTAAATTTTAAATGTCTTAATAATAGTGAAAAGTTTGAAATTTGTTGTGTTTATGAATGATGTGTTACAAAATTTTTATATTTTAAAAATACCTTCGCTAAAAAACATAATTATGAAAATTCTAACAATAACACGAAAGTTGGCATCTCAATCTGTATTATAATAGAAATGTTTTCATCAACAAAAATTGTAAAGACAAATTAAGCAAGTAAATTTGAACATTTTACTGTGTGGACCTCAAAATTAACATTCTAAATTTGGTGATCTGCCAATAAATTCATCTCTTCTCTCAAAGGATCCAGATTTTTCTATCTTATGTAACATTTTAAATGCAGATGCCTCTTGTTCAATCAAATTAATTGTAAACCAAAACTCTGAACAGAAACTTTCCCATTCCCTACCTCCTTTATCTGAAAGTACTATAGCTCTTCCCCATTTTCGCATAAGGCTCTCCGGCCGGCAAGATGATCTTTATGTATGCTGCTGCCACTTACTTGCTTAAAACGATGTCGTACTTTAAAATGCAACTTACTGTATTCAAATATAATTAGGAAACATCTTGTTTGAAAAAGGATGATTTGATATGCGTAAAAAAAAAAAAAGTGATTTTTCAAGATACATAGTGCTAAATTGCGTCCTCATACTTTCCACTCTGCACCTTCAACCCACTACGGTACTTTCGGTCATCTACACAGTATCTAAGCTGTTAAAAGCTCCAGTGCTTTCATCTATGCATTTTTAAAATCATTACATATGTAGCGTATTCGGAAACTAAGTATCGTTTCATTCTAGCGCCGTCGCAGCGCTGTGGTAGGTCTCCCACACATACGCACTAGTCTTTCTTGTTCACTGACTTTCAATTGTTGCTATTTTGGTTGCTCTATGTTGTGTTTTCAGTTTGCTGTGCACATTCAAATGTTTAAGACAATTAGTTCTCCCGCTGACTGAGAGATTCGTGCCGTGATTAAATTTTTGAATGCGAGGAATGTTAAACCAGCCGAAATTTATCGTCAAGTGACAGAAGTTTACGGTGAATACGCGATAAGTGATGGAACGGTGAGAAAGTGGGTAAGAATGTTTAATGCAGGTTGAACGAATGTCCACGCCGAGGTGCAGAGTGGTCGGCCTTCTGTTGTCACCGATGGTTTGGTAAGGAAAGTTGATGAAGCAATTTATGAGAACAGACGCTTCACAATGACAACTCTTTCAGAGGATTTTTCCACAAATTTCACGTACTGTTTTGTTCGAAATTGTGTCTGACCGCTTGAATTATCACAAACTGTGTTCCCGATGGGTTCCAAAAATGCTCACTGATGTTCACAAAACAAAGCGACTTGGTAGTGCCCTGACATTTCTCACGCGGTACAGTGATGAGGGAGAAAACGTTTAAGCCAAATTGTGACAGGTGATGAAACTTGGGTGTGTCATTTCACACCAGAATCGAAATAACAATCGATGGAGTGGAGACACACTCATTATCCGAAAAAACAAAAGTTCAAAGTGACAATGTCATCACAAAAAATCATGTGCACTGTCTTCTGGGATAGGAAAGGCGTTTTGCTTACTGAATTTCTTCCAAGAGGTG